TTGTGATGCTAAACCCATTCTATGACTAAGGTCCAGTGTAAAGGTATTAATTACAATAATTACAAAGCTAAGTAGGTAAAATCAATCTAACGTTTATTAAGGATAAAATAGTATGAATAAGATTACATTTTAACAAAAGGTGGCGACTAGTCAGCCCTATATCTGAAGAAACAACTGAAGTTTACATACCTTCCTTACAAATTTAACAATTTCACCTTTCCCGTTTGAGAGGCATCAAACAAAATTTTGGGTACTTGATACAGGCGACAACTCGGATGTATACGGTCACGAAACAAGAAATAACAATTACGTCGGTAGAGGTTTCTGTAAAAAAAAAAAAAACAATATGAGAATTATTGTGCAACCCTAATGTGCAGACCCCTTCAGAGCTTTCCACCCCACAGCCGCCCAACCTAGGCCTCCGGTCTTCCGCGGTTTCCCCGGCCACCCAAATGGACGACTGCGTCCGATCACTCAAAATGACTCAAATGGCCTTTTCCACCCCACAGCCGCTTCCAACCTGTAGGACTCCGGTCTTCCCCGAAACACCGGCCATGATGAAATCTGTCGATCTCAGGAATTGACTCAAAATGCCTTCCTTCAATGTAGGTAGTCTAATCGTTCAGCTCGCCCGGAACTCCCGACTGCTGGTCTCCGCTCTGCATATTAGAAGTCATCTCTCGTTCCTTTTCTTCGAGAAAGTCTCCTTGGCTTCTTCAGAAAGAAAGCGTGTAATTGAAAATGTTTTCCACGTCTCATCTCCGAAAACACTGCGCAGCCACTTTAATAGCTGGCGCGTTTTTTGAAAATTTGGCGTAGAAGGTGATCAGCAGGAAGCTAAGTCCAGCAACCCAAACAGAGAAATCCTTCACGAGATTAAGCCAGTTAGCGCAATTCAATCATTCAGTTTCCAAGGCCACACCAAATGTGTCAACAATCTCCACAGACGAAAACAAGGTGGGCCATAATCTAGTCTCGCATCGATGGTTCCCAAGTCGACCCATGTAGAGCTTTTCCTATCCCAACGATTATTTCCTCCTCCTCACAAATACGCTGTAGAACCTTTCCCTGCTACCGCTGTCTACAGCAACCGGGGTCCTCTTTTCGGGAAACTCCAGATGGTGTATCCATCCAACACGTCATCCCGACATATGGTTTTTCGTTTGGGCGAAAGAATTTTCAGGGGTGCAGTAAATCCTCTGATAAGGGATTCCCGAAAATGAATTCCAAGCCGACGGTTGGGATGTGAAAAGAGTTCAGAACCAGTAATATTTCGTCAGCACAAATGACTTTGGGAAATTAAAAATGAAAAATACTAATTACACAATAATATAATTCATAAAAAATGTCAGCACTATATAAATTGTTTCTTCAACAGTATTTAAAGTATATATACTTATTATCCAGACTGAGATTCAATTACAATTGAATTACCTACCACCAGTCAGAAAATATGAATTCGATTAACTTAATAGAAGGTGGGTAAAAATTAAGTTACCTAAAGTTAAGAAACAATTTAACACACCAAAAGTGCAGCAACAAAGCTTTAAAATAATTAAAGTTAAACAAACTTAAGGGTCAAAACAACAAGATGCAAAAACCAAAAATCGTAAGTCGCTAAACTCAAATTAAAATTAAACAACTTCAACTCAAGAAAACTTTTAAAGCAACCAAACCTAAATTTTAAAGTTTACAAAAGTTACAGTTTAAACTTACAACCAACTTTAAACAACTAAAGCAAAAAAAAATTTAGAACTTCAATTACAGATCAAAACTGAAATAGTAAGCAAAACTTAAGCTTGAAAATAATAGTGATTAATACATAACAATTGTAAGGTTGGAAAAAGACTGAAATCACTTACAGAAAGAGGGGAAGTACTTAATGTGGCGAAATAATCTATAAATATGCAGATATGTAAATAATAAATATGCAGTTTTAAAATTAAGGATTAAAAATGCAGAGAAATTTCTTGGTGGATTCCCTGAACTGGAAAAAAATGAAAAGGTGGGTGAAAGGCCTTTAAAGAAAGTTCTCAGATTGATAATGTCCAAATGAAGATTAAAATAGAGATAAAGAGAACTTGAGCATCAGAGATGCAAATTTTAAAAGAAAAAAATTAGATTCCATGCACAGGAGCTGTCTGCTGGCTACCACAGGACTTTTAGAACTCCTCCAGCGGAGGTAGCATGCGTGTTAACCAGCATTCCGCCTCTTTCATTGCAATACGATTTTTATTATAAGAAAAAATTATCAAGGATTGGCAGATTGGATAGATTGGTAGACTCGTCCTGAAACTTAATTTTGGAACTCCTGAAAAGTAGCAGTAATAACCTAGTAAAAATCAACAGGTATTATAATTTGCAACGAAATAACATTTGGAGATGATGCACATAATGATGACGAAAAACTAAGAATTCCGTGCGAAGTGTCATTTCATTATTATGTTACAAGATTTAGAATTTGAAGAGAATGTAAAACAAATAATTAATATATATTCCATTTCAAAACTCTTTTTTTCATACTATTATTGCGAAAATTCCTACCCAATCAACGTAATTTTCAAAGGGTTAATATGGGAAAACGATAATTTGTAAGCAATTGATGTGGGAATATAAAGCGTTATTTATACTGAATTTCATTTCAGACCAGAAATGGCGGAGAAATGCATTTGAGAACCAGAACGCGATCGGTGTGGGAACGATAGATCGAAGTTTACAGTAAAAAATTATTTGCTCTTTTATAACTTGTCATTCTCATATTTTTCATCAATTAATAAATATATATTCTGAATTCTTTTTTTTTAAACCTATAACAGTCTCCTTTGAATATTCTCTTCGCTAAATCGTTAATTTGAATTTAAAATATTCAAAAATCCATTGAACGCATTGTCAAAAGGTACTTTAAAGAAAACGAATCTGAAAATTATCTGGGTGGGGAGAATGCGTTCGACCCACCATTTAAGAGTATTTATGCATAGCAAAAATAAAGTGCCTGTATGTTGTTTACTAACAAATATTTCAAATTATTCAAAAACATGTAAATTAAGTCTTAAAATAAAAAATCCATCTTGTAAAACCAATTTCTTCAATAAATTAAGTCGTGCAAGCATAAATTTCAGGACAGCCTTACCTGCGAAATTGCATTATTTTTAGTACCTGATTTCCGACTAACAAAAAATAGCAGAGTCAGGAGCAAATGAAGTATTTTTTAAATTAAATTTAGCAGCCCTTTTAATTAACCGTTAAGTATAATTAAGAAATTTCAAAAATAAACCCGTCAGGTATGATGACTTTATCAGTTTTTTCTAAATGTCAAGCTGCTCATTTCCTGAAGCAAATTATGCTTAAAATGGTCGTAAGAGGTTACAATTTCCTCTGACGCACCTCTTCTTTCTGTATTCTCAGTAAAAAGCGGTGTACTGCAATTTTTTTTTAACTATAGTTACTATTACCATCATCATTCATTTATTTGCGTATTTGAAACTTTCGTTTTGACAGTTATTCTCTTTCAGTGAAATCTTTTTACTCAGTATCAGCCCTACCAGCGGCGGAGTGTTTAAGAGCGTCAATTTTTAAATGACTTAATCCATCAAGGAATGTAGGTGAATCTGGAAGATTCTTTTCGAGATAAGGATTTCACATCTCGTTTTTTTCGTACAATACGAAAGCAACAATCATTTGTTTTTATTATAAATCTTCTTTTTGAATATTAAGAAAATGGGAACAAAATGCATTTAAAAATACTATAAAAAAAAGAAGGGCTGCACTATTCGGGCCTGCCCATTTAGTTTCACTTTCATTCACCGTTTCAGTTAAGCTTTGTACGCAGCATTACTTTCGTTCACTTTCTTTACTTTAGCAGCATTACTTTCGTTCAGCATTCACTTTCGTTCAGTTCACTTTATTCACTTTCGTCACCGTTTCAGTTAAGCTTAGTTCGCAGAAGCTGCATTGCAGCTTTGATACAAGTCGAAAAGTTTCTACACTCTTCTTCGAAGATTAATGCTGTAAAATGTAATGTTAACTTTTACTTCCTTTTGGATAGCCATTTAGAAATTTATTAAATTTTTGTTTATTGTTTTTAACCTTTTATTATATAAATCTAATTAGTAAAATTATGAACGATTACTTTATGCAGTTTATCTTAAGTGCTATGGTCACTAGAAATAATCATCAGCTGTTTAATGCATTATTGGCTATGGACAGACATTGCTTTGGATAATATTTATTTGTTTAAACAACTCTCTAAAGACTTTAAACGGTACCTTAGAGATCAGAATAGAGTAAGTATTTTACAGATTTTATCTTTCTTAAATTCTTTAAATAAAAAGAAAAGAATGTTGCTAAAAAACTTTTGAACATAACTTTTAATCATTTGAACTGCTTTTTTCACTGTTCTAGCTGCTTATTGTCATCTACCATTGTTCTCTAATATGTTTTCATTCAAAGTTCTTTCTAACAGCAGATAATACCAATGTTGCTGGCATTCTGCCGCAGTTGGATACGTAAACGTATCCAATAAGAGCGTGATTGATACGTAAGTCTATCCAATAAGAGCGTGAGGTGAAAAACGCATTCTTTAAAGGTAAAAAATTCTCGTGATATTAAAACATCTCTCCACAATTTGCTGTCTCATCGTAACCGATGTCTTATAAATAATCTCTTAATTTAATTAAGGAAAAAATTAAAATACAAATATATTCCTTTCAGAAAGGATCACACCCATACAATTTATTTCACAATTATTCCGATTAAATTTGTCTGAACCCCGCACTTGCATATTTGTGATCAAAGGCAGTGTTATCCATAGACAGAAAAATTATTGTAAATTAAAGGCAGCGGAAAATTATCGATATACTTCTTTATTATTCTTATTCGATATTCTTATACTTTATCCTTATACGATATACTTTTTTATTATATTCTTTCGTATTACTTTTAATATTTCAGACTTTGTTTTATCTGAACAATATTCACTGTAATACTAATTTATATTACAGCGCCTGGTGGACCTCCTCAAAAGGTGAAGGTAAGAGCAACTGGAGCGCATATAGTTAAAGTTACTTGGAAGGTGAGCACATATTATTTTATAAATCTGTAAACTGTACAACCTGATAATTTTAGTAATCCTGCCATCTATGTGCTACATTAATTCTGAAAACATATTTTATTTAAAAATAGGAACTACGAGGGTTGGAACTTTAATAGTGGCAACTATTTATTTACAAGGAATACAAAAGTGATTCATGTCTCCATGCCTTACAGTCCTTCAATATAGTCGCCAGCATTGTGTACAACCCGTTTCCAACGATGTGGAAGTCGCAGAATACCTGTAGCAGCGCCTGTTTTGTTGATAGATTTGAATGGACCGGACCGGTCTACTGCCGCAAGAATCTCAGGAACAGTTTGGAAGCGAGTGCCACGAAGTGGTTCCTTCATCTTAGGAATTAAGTCATAGTCACAAGGGCTTAGATCTGGGGAGTATGGTGGATGGTAAAGCACTTCCCAGCCCCATCGCTTGAACAAATCAGTCACAGATTGCGCTGCATGCGGCCGAGCATTGTCATGCAAAATGAGAGGAGCTTTCTGCAGAAAGTGTCGCCATTTTTTTCTCAAAGCTGGTCGGAGATTGTGCTCCAAAAATGAGCAGTAATACTGCGTAGTGACGGTCTTTAGTGGGGGAACGGTATGCGTTAGGATGACACCATCACAGTCGTACACGAGAATCACCATAACTTTCACATTGTTGGGGTTCTGACGAAATTTCGAACGTCGTGGTGACCCGTGGTGACGCCATTCGTTGATAATTCTGGCTGGTACGATCAGGCCCAAGTCTCATCCAGCGTAATGATACGCCGTAAAAAAGCATCTCCTTCGCGCTCATAGCGCTCTAGGTGGGTTCGGGCAGCATTGTATCGTAGCCATTTCTGCATTTCCATCAATTGATGTGGAACCCATTGTGAAGCAATTTTTCTCATGGACAGGCGTTCCTTCAGAATGTGCAGCACAGTCGTATGCGCTAATCCTGTTTGTCCGGCCAGCTGATGAATCGTTTGGCGGTGATCACTGTCTATTAGTGCGGCAACAGCTTGCACGTCTGCGTCGCTGACACTCGAACGACCTGGCCGCAGCATGTCTGCCACATTTTGGCGTCCTTCATTGAATGCTTTCACCCATCTTGCTACGGTTCTGTAAGGCGATGCAGATTCCCCGCAAGCCTCTTGAAGCCCTTGATGACACTGTCGTGCTGTACGACCTCTGGCACATTCAATTTTTATCCAACATCGTTGTTCTTGTTTTCAAAACATCCTAACAACACTTACTTTAGACCGCGAGCTAATACAAGGATTCGTCTTCGCGTCACTCCGCATGCGCGTGACGTAGGCAGGACGAGTCTTTTTGCTGAGAGATAAGGTAGGTAGGTAGATTACGTGTGGTATACGCGATATTCTTTGGTTTTTGTTGCGTAGCGTTTTTTCAGCTGTGTTGCCACTATTAAAGTTCCAACCCTTGTATAAGTTGTATTATTTTTTGTTGACATTCTAAATATCTATACAGTATCTATCTATTACTGTCAGAATTTAGTAGCGTTATTATAACAGATTATCAAATGCTTAGCTACGCGAACAGTTGCCAATCTTACAAAAGAAGATCCTTAAGGAACGTTTTTAATTCATTTTTCCAATTTTAACCTGGAACTGCATATTAATGTAACAAATTCAGAGATTTAAAAATAAAATACGTACTTCTTGATGTTTTTTAATATTTATACTTTTATCATGCATTGGTGTCTCGCATAACAATCGCATCACATAATGAACCACCAACAATAGTATTCTGTGGGTCGTAAAATGTCTCTCATAACCAAACGTAAGCGAATGTCATAATAAGCAATTACTAACTCTTGAATCTAAAGTCTAGATTTGGTATACTTTTTGTTTAGTAGGCATTTAAATGCAGAAATGTGTCAATGCATAAACAAAGAGTAGGCATTGAAACACACTTCTTAATTTTGCAAGGATTGGATAAAAGTCTTCAAAGATCTCTAAATCTTTGTTACCATTGGTACAAACACTTGCAGTCAGTCAGTATACAACATAGTATGTCTATCACTTTCTGTCAAATTACTAGAGGGCGTAATACATCATCAGCATGTCCATTTATTTTGATGCTACATAGTGTCTGCTCTAAAGCATGGATACCCTGTTCTGTACAAATTTAGTTAGTCCTTGCCATCAGATCTTTCATTTCGGGGAAAGATCACAGTCACATGTACTTTTATTGGGTATGTATGGTAGGAGTTCCAGTACATGCCGTAGCAACCGGCGCAGGGTATCCTTGACTGAGTTCGTCATTTTGATACCACGCATTGTCATGAAGCTTCATGGAATTTTTTAAAAGGATATAGGATTTCTTTGACAGAGATGTAAAAGATATCCTTGACAGAGCTCGTCAAGAACAAAGCTCTTCGCAAAAATGAAGAAACCACAACAAGGGATCTAATAAACAGGAGGCGTTTACTCATGCTTAATTCGTGATCTTCGAGATTTCCTCTCGCAGGTCATGTCTTAAAGCGTTTGCCGCAAGGCATCAAAAGATCTATTTATGGTAATAGAGTCTTCACGTATATTTACAGAATGTCACTTGGTTTTCTTTTCTAATTTCTTCTCTATGTGGGTCTTTAGCAGCACCATAAATTCCATGGCAGAAAAGGAAATTGTTGCAGCCCTCCTATTCTGAGTTCCTAAGTACCTTTTTCTGGTGCCCCCTTCCTTGATGCCCTAGGCGCATACTTATTTTGGTTGATCCAGCTCTGATGACAACCAAGCAGTGGCATTCCAATCAAGTTGAAGTAGACGGAGTAACAGATCTGTTCAACAATATTGTCATGCAACACTTCAGGATCATTTTGACTAAGAAAGAAAAAGCAATACATTAGGTTACTTCTGGAAATTTGGACCTCTGGAAGGACCAGAGAGCTATGCAACTACGTCAAAATACGCAAGATTTCCCATTTTAATGAAAGACACAGTGTTCAGACTAAAATTAAAACTCCATTTGTCGAGAAAAACAGTAATTAAATGTAATAAAGCTATGGTACTATAATTCTAAAAAAAGTTGGGAGCAGCTTGTTTGAAATTAACATATTTAATATAAAACTTTTAATATTCATATAAAATAATTTCCTTTAGTTTTATTCAAAACTACGGCAAATTAAATTTACTTATTTGTCTAATTTTAGATGGAATTTATCATATACTTTTTGACAGACTACTTTCAATTTCTACTATTAATTTCAAATATTTTACCTTCACGTTTAATCAAGAAATCTGATTGCATTTTGGAGAGAAATTTTCTGAAAAGCGAAGGAAAAAATACGATATTTATACCATGCTTCTGACAAAACAAAACTCGTGTATAATAATATTTTTTAGTAATAAATTAATATATAATTTTTCAGTGTCTAATTAAAGTTTCTTTTCTTTCACATTCGCGTCTTTTTTCATTTATTAAAATTAATAAGGACGCCATAAATTAGCCGTGATTCCAACGAAAACTGCTGTGCAATAAATAGCTGTTCAGAAACAATGATGTTTTATTATGTATTACCAAGAATAACTTATTTAATAGCCTCCAAGAAAGGATCTTCAATTTGGATTGATAAAAGGTTATTATGTGGGATACAAAGAAGCAGGTTCAAAGGATACTTTCATTTACAAGACACTGAATGCGAAAGGGGAAGACAACTTCATTGAAGAAACCCAGCTGTCAGATCTTCGAAAATTTACAGAATATTCTGTGATTGTTCAAGCTTTCAACGCCAAAGGAGCTGGTCCTCCTTCTGATCAAGTTAATGTCAAGACACTGGAAAATGGTAAGTAAAATATTTTTTATTGATGCCTTTTTTTCCTCACTGGAGCGGAAATTGCCAAAAAATGACCGCAGTTTAAGAAACCTCTCCTTGGAATTAATGTTGTTACCTTGGTGTGTTATTCATCTATTTACTGTCTAGTATCACAATGCTAAAGCATAATAACTAAGCCCAGTTTTGCATGCTGATTTTACTATGAGACCTCACCTTTTCGGCTCAACAGCATATTTGGCAGAGCCATGTAATTAAGAAATAGAGCAATCCATAACATTAAAAACAATAAAGTCTAGCAAATTCGTCTTCAATCAATTCTCTGCTATAGACTAAGGTGTTTATATTAAGAATGTAAATCGTTAGTACTGCTGTTAGTGAGAAATCATAAATTCAAAGAAATTATTATTTGAAATACAAATTTTATAAAAGTAATTTTCCGTTTGTTAGGAATTATATTTAAATTTCTAGAACGTTCTACTATAAATTGAAAACTAACTAAAATGATGTGATTCTACATCATTTAAACATTCTAACTGTGTTATAGTAACAGTGCACAAAAAGTGCATTCATAAATAATTCTCGTAAGGGATCTCAACATAAAATGAAATAAAGGGCTTTAAGAAAAGATAAATAGAAAAGATAAAAGAAAATATATTATGTAAAATCTATTTAGACAATTAGACAACCATCACCCATAGACCATCACTTCTGAAATTAATCAGTGTGCAACAAAAATAATTATACATACTGAGCATTTGTTCTCAAAGCTACTGAAGTCTACAATAATCAAGTACCGTAAGTTGTCATTCGAGATTCTAGTTTGATTGCAGTGTAATCTTTTTATGAGATTATAATAGTTATAGATTTGTATAGATAACAAGTAAATTTAAGATAATTATTTTTGAAAAGAAGCGGAAAATTTAGAAGGATTTACACTTGAGAAATATTTGCAAATAATTATTCACTTATACGCAAAGTTTTCTAGAGTACTGAGTGAAACGCAACAAACGAAATTTTGTTGCTATTGAGGAAAGGATTTAGGATATAAAATTTGTTACCTAGGTAAGCAAAATAAATTATGATATTGTCATTGAAAAGTTTTACATTTCTTACACAGATCTTATGTTTGTTATACTTATTAACCTTTAAACGTAGCTAATTAGGATCATAAATTCCTTTTGGTAGCGTTTCTACCGGCCTTTAATAATAGTAGTATTTAATATATTATGCCAATATTGGAATGCTTTGGAGTAACTATATTGCCCTATAAAAGACCGTAGAAGAGTTCTTTTTCCATAAAACGTTTGCGTTATCTGTTAGGAGAGATAAGCAAAAGTGGAATTATTTGCGGAATGACTAATAAATATTTTCTAGACATTTGCATTCTTCAGAAGCTGTTTCGGCAAAAGACTGTTGCTGTTCTTACCAAACGACAATGTTTGTTATTTGCATGATATAGGGGTAATTGGAATATTCGTAAAGACATTAAATAACTTATTTATGTTGTTATTAATCTATAATCTTCGCATTTTCTTTACACGATGAAATATTACAAGCATATGAAATATCCAGACATTATGAAAAATGAAGCGCCATTTAAAGGCACGCGGAAGAAATGTAAATTGGCCTGGTCGTTTATTTATATATTTTTTTATTTTATCTTACAGGAATTACCTGCGGCTTTTTGCCATTAGCTTTAAATTCACTGAAAACAAGCAGCGTAAGAAAGCCTAACTGTTGCAGAAGATGAAATTGCTAAGTATTGCTTTTTAATCCGGTGGCAGGACGCATAGTATTTGACTTGACGTATATAGTATTAAATAATATTAATCTGTTAGTCTTTAATATTTAATTCTTTATAAATCTATACAACGCTTGACACGTGAACACAACTTCTTCGTTCCTTCTTTAAAACTCATCTTTTGGAGCTCTATTTAACTCTTAGGTTGCACTTCAAATCTCTTCATTGCTATTAAAAAGAATTGTCTTTGAAGTGAGATTCCTATTTAGAGAAGGGACAGCAGCCGAAAGTTACCAAAACTGGTAAAAAGGAGAGGTAATTGAGAATTGTAACCCCTTTCTCTGTAAAAAACAACTTGATGAGAACGGAACTTTCTGGTGAAATTGTCAAGCAGCAGAAACCAATTATTCCATTGTGACATTTTTACCTCTAATGCTCTAAATTCTCAGGAACAAATTCTCTAGGAATTATTCCTTTGCATTCAAAAAAGATCTCCAAATAGTCCTTACTGAGAGTTCTGAAACAAAGCAAATAATTGCCATTTTGTATTAGGATTACAAGTAACGCAACAAGTTTTATCTCCAATCATAACTTATTTCAAAATATCAGAATTAATTTTCACTTTATGGCAAAACTCTCTTGGTACTGTTTTTGTCTCAGCTTTCGAATCATGGTAGCAGATGTTCACTGGAGCAAGGCAAATGTTAACTTCATAGAAAATTTTGTTCATAAGCAGGTGGTATTTTATCTAAAGGAAATTGAGGTGGTATAGTAGTAAATTATCTCATTATCTCTTGGAAGCTTTTCTGGATTTTTTCTTTTGAAGAATTTTATTTTAGAATTTTGTTCGCGCATTGTATTTTCGATCCAAGATGGTTCAATGACAATTTCAATTGTCTTATATTTTTACCCGTTTCTGGTTTCACTAACTGACGGAGTCGGTTTTTGAAACTTCCTGATTTATTACAATTCGCACTGATTTATAGAGTTAACAACGGTAAATGAACATTATTGAAATTTTAAAGAGGAAATTTAAATGTAGTTCTTAATCATTCATTACCTTTGCTATTGATCGAAGAAATTTAATCTTTTTGGGCGCATGTGTATAAATAGTTGATATATATATATATATATATATATATATATATATATTTTTTTTTTTTTTTTTTTTTCTGGAGCAGTGCAGTATAATAGACTCAAGTTTTCAGCTTCGGCCTGAAACACGATAAAAGATATATAATCTTGCTTTTCTCAGCCTTCTTGTCCCTTTCTTTGTTATACCTCGTTCTGCTAAATTGAATCCTTTCCTGGAAATGTCTGATAATATGTTTGAGAGAATAAGGACCAATTATGGAATGTTTTTATTGTCGCTGCCTTTGATTTGTTACTCGCAATAAGTGCGTTTGAACTTCCTAACAAGGAAATATTTTCCTATACGTTATATCAAAGGGTCAAAAGTCAACAATGAAAGAAAAAATTTAAAAGTTAAGTTTTTATTTCCTCCACTTGATGAGAAAGAAAAGGGGTTTGAAGCATGAGCACTAATCTTGCATTTTAATTCGAAAATAACGGGAAACCACAATGTCTGCCTTTCAGAATATTTTTATGGTAAGGTTACAAATGAGTTAGAAATTAAACTACCAAAGAAAAAAAGAAAATCTTCAACACACACACACACATATATATATATATATAAAGAGAGAGAGAGAGAGAGAGAGGTGTATACAAACAAGAGTTTAAAATTTCAAAATTAAGTTTATAAATTAATAAGAAATTAAGATTATAAATTCTCGAATTATGCTACGACATTAATTAAATCATCAGTAGATAATAACTAAATTAATACTTGGTCAGTTTGTCACCAGTAATGATTTCATTTTTATACCTTGATCATTATATATTGTGTGCACTTATACATAAGAACAGAATTCTTGTGATTTATATTAATTTTTAAAGGCGTTGAAAATCAAAAATGCGACTGGATTTATAAAATAACTTGAGTCATTAGTGGATTAAAATTTAAGCATGTCAGACTGAAAACGTACCTGACATAAATAAGTCGAAAAGTTATTATGCATATCGAAAAATTGCTATGCTTAATTTTAATTTTCTTCAGCATTATTTGATTTTACTTTAATATATAAATTTTTGGGTGAAAATGGAAAAGTAATCATACAACTAGCCCGTTCATCTGAAATTGAACCCAAACCAGTGTTACAAGCAACCACTCGGCCACTCGAATTTAACCACTTGGTCACTGTGAGTGAAATGAATTCTCTAGAAACGGTATTTTAAAAGTAAGTGTGAATAAATAAAATTCTTTCAGATTTAGTTAACGTCAGCAAGTAGGCAGTTGATCCACCAATCAGTTTTACCTTGTACAATCTATCAAGCGGAGCTTAGCTGCCACTGTCTTACAGATACTTGTGGAATTCACCCCTGATGGTGCATATCTAATGTAATTTGCAACATCAGTTTATGTATCCTACACAAGTAATATATTTGTTAAAATATATCACAACTGTAACTGCAGAAGAACAATACAACATATACATTTTCAACACCTATGTATTGTTTTAAATAAAATATGCAGTTGCAATCAACGTTATTACAATTATGTTTATGAATACGATAGGCCATGCACATTATAATGACACATTACAAGTTGAAGTAATAATTTTTTTTGAAACATAGCAATATTTCAGTATGTGCTGGAAATTCATAGTGCATTATGATATTAACTTAAATGAATAGTTGAAAATGTCATTACAATGGAGTTAGAAAATAAAAGAAAGAAAATCCTAAACTCGTGCTAAAATAGCTTTAAATCGAAGCTAATATTTGCAATAAAAATTTTTACTCAGTCATAGAACTGATTTTCTATGCAGTAAACTACTTCCATGTTTTTAGGATTGAAAGATTTAGGAGCGAAAGGTCAGTTAGAAACTCTGAATCGAACGTAGACTCAAATCTGCAGTTTTAGCAACTGAAATCTTATTGCAAACTGTTTATAATGCAGATTTTTTTTTACCTCTCACGAACCTAGGTGAGACAGGTAATGTTTTCGGTCCAAAAATTCGATAGTGAGTTTTCAGTGAAAAGTACGGATTACGCACAATAAATTTTCACTATTTTTATAATGATGTCTGTCTGTCTGCATGTGTGTGCGTATTTCATCATCCAACAGTGACTCATATGAAAAATCTTAAAGCAATTTCCACTTTCCGCATTTAAGCTTTTCGTTTTCTTATAAAGAGTTGATTATATTTTGGGTAGAAATTCTAAAGATAAGTTGTTTTTAAATATTTTGTTTGTTAAGCCAATGATTTGTGTATTCGAAGCACTCTCTAACTAAAGAATTATGCTGTGATCGATGGGATATTCTCACATCAAGCGTGGGGGGATGTGATACGTTACTTGAAGCCCGTAAAGGAATGTTTACACTTGCAGGAATTTGAGCTCAAGAAACGCACATGAAGTTGACGTCTCCACTAAACCAGGCACACACTATTTTCGCCGTCTGCCAGCCGATAGATACTGTATAGGTAAGGGGGAAATATTTTCGATCCAAAAATTCTATAGTGAGATTTCAGTGAATAAACACGAAATAAGAGTCCTGACAGCACTTTTCGCTATTTTTACAATGATGTCTGTCTCTGTGTTGTACGTTAAGGCGATTGTCTATTCCACGATAGATCTTATATGAAACTTCCAAAAATTTCTGTTTTTCATATTTAGGCGTTTTGCATTCATGTAGAGAATTGATCAGATTTGGAGCAAAATTGGACAACTGGAAGTGGTACTTTACAGGAAGCCCGCAAGTCTTTAATAACAACCAGAGGTGGTACTCTACTTGTGGCCCATAATAGTATTTAATGAAAAACTACATTAAAATATAATTCAAAACTTTTCAATTTTGGTATTTAGGATTTTTATATGAATGGGAACAACATAATAGATTTGAGCTAAAATTCATAAATCGGAAGTGAAACTTTATTTAAAGCTCTGAACAGGCTTTCGTAAAAAAATATATTATGAGATAATTTAAATTTCGTATTTAAAATATGTATGATGCTGCGAACAACATACTGCATTTTTAAGCATTAAATGTATTCTTAGAATTTTGCTAAACGCAATATGAATAAGCTTACTATGAAGACGATCTCTCTTTATAAAGCAATTAAATGTTAGTTTAATTAACCTCAATCCTTAGTTTTTGTGTTCGTTTAACTTTCGTGTCAAACCACTTTTCAAATGAAAAGATTCTGCTGCCAAACATTATCGCTATGTATTATGTTTAAGGAAATACTAATAAAGCAACTATAAACAATATAGGGAATATAAAAAGAAATGTATGGCAATATTCTATCGGAAATTCTAAAGATAAGTTGCTTTTAAATATTTTGATTGTTAAACCAATGATTTGTGTATTCGAAGCACTCTCTAACTAAAGAATTATGCTGTGATCGATGGGATATTCTCACATCAAGCATGGTGGGAATGTGTACATAAGTACGTATAGTTATCATTGCCAGTTGTATGGAAAAATATAATTAAGTATGAGTAGCTTTTATAATTAACACTGATTCAAAATATTTATAAATATATTTGATTTTATTTATAATCGATGAACCGGGAGTGATAGTTTACTTAAAGTTGTTTGCTGCATGAAACTGGTTGGAGGTCATGTGCTGACTACATCAGATATTTTGGCAGAATATTAAGCTAGACTTATAATTCTCGTTCATTTGTCTCATACCTATATTTTAATATGGTGTTTATAAAGGCTACACAATATTGTATTTAAAAATATATTTTTCTGATTTATGCTATCATATTATATCCTCATGCACAAGATGTCTTCTCATTTATGATTTCATAACATGAGCAACTAACCCTTTTAAACTAAAACATGTCTTTTAAATTACTCAGTAGAATATCTTCAATGGAATCTCTGAAACAAACGATCTGCTTCATTGTGGGAAACACCTGCACCCGTATCCAATAAATACAATAAACATCATTTACAAAACAAGTAATGTAAAAGAGCTTTTGGCATTTTGTTCTCCGATTGCTCTCATGTAGCGGTATATTGTTTAAATTACTTTAATCCTTCGTAGTTTTTTGCGTCCTAGATTACAAAAGTGGAGTTTCTGAAGTTCTAAAATTTTTTAGCTTGATAAAATGGCTATTGTTAGAAGTATCTTCAGCAATAGTGAATTTCTTTGATTTCCTTGCAATCTAAATTTATTTAGATTTTACGTGAAAGTTTTCCTCCAAAAACGCTCTGTAAATGATCACTTTTAGATGGATAGCACTCGAATGCTTTGTCGTAATTTAAACATTCCTAATCCTTAGCAATAAGGCTTAATGATGGTTAATTTTCACATTCATTAAAACCGTTCATTTTTAGTTATCCAAATTCTAACTAGTCTTTATCTTTAGCTTTTAAGAAAATTATTTCATTATTCTTTTCAATTTTTATCAAAGGATTGCGCCAGCAGCTTTGTGTGTTGCCTTACACAGAACATTCTGGAATTTTCTGGTCTGTAGACATCATGTGAGCACGGGGCCTTTCTTTATTTTCATTTCTGCTGTTGAAGAAGAAGGTGCTACGCATACCTTTCAAAATAACCCCGTAAATTTGTGCCTCCTACATTAATTCTTGCTGTCTTAATATCTCTAATTCCACTTCTTATTTAGTTTCCTGTGTTACGTAAATTTTACGGCTTAATGTTACAAAAATTTCATTCCTTCGTCCACTGGGCGTATTTAAATGATTTGAAAGGGGAATGCCTGATTAGCTTGTAAGACTTGTGGTTCGAATCTCGCTGAGAGTATAAGTGCCTTTTCATGTTTCTCGCTAAGGCAAAAGGCAAGTAATGTCTCAGCGCGATCTAAAAATGAGGTGGTCGATAATTCATCACCATTTGAATTTTGTCGATTGGATCTTGTATCTTCCCTTAAGTGAAGAAGAGTGTGAGAATTTATTATATTTCCTCGTTCGTGTTCTCGTGATGTAAATGGTAGCAGGTCCAACTAGCTTGGAAGATTCCTGGATCAAATATCGGAGAAAGTTTGATTTTTCATTTCCCTTGTTCAAAAAAAACGCTAATATATCTTTTATGTAAAATATCCATTATTATTTATTTTCAGATCCTCCTGGAAGTCCTGTGGTAAAAGTTGTATTCGTAAATCAGACTGCCATAGGCCTGGCATGGGACCAGACGGAAACAGAAAATCCAGTACAAGGTAAAAACTGTTATAGATTAGAAATTTTAAAATGCATTGTACGTGCTAATCTAGAAATAAGTTAGTTATGAAATTAAAGTTTAGACAAGGTTAAATTTTATTTCAAAGAGTTAAAAGATACGAAATGTTTCGGGTACTTTAAATGTTAATGCGTTTTTAAACGTATTTGGTACAAGCTTCTTCATTAAGTACTTTTCTCCCTTAAAAAATATATCGTACATTTCTAATAGTCATTTTTATTTATAATTTAAAAGCATAAAATTGTTATAAATATTACAGATATTTTGTTCTTGATTTAAGCGCAGACATCTTTTCGCTTTATTTTCATAATTCCAAAATTATTGAAAGTCGAACTTTCACAGAAAAATCCTGAAAGAAAGAATTCTAAAACAGATATACCTAAAGTTTTCTCAAAATGTATGTTTTTGTTATTGTTTCAGATCCAAGCATTCCCGATGGTTAAGAGATAGTAAGTGTCTAGCGTTGCCCAGAACCTTGAGCACATATGAAACTTTTGTCCAGCTGGAGGGGCGTCTCAGTTTTGAAGAAAAATCTGTTCCCAGGAGGGCGAACCCTTATATCTCTTAGACCCTTTTTTTCCGTACCGCCAACCTTTCGAAAGTATTTTCAGGGGGAGTGTATTTTAAGTGGCCTGCCACAAGGGCACTATACATTTACAGACATTCATGCTTTCTCTAGTAATCGGACCAGTGTTCTGGGTTATGGCAGCCAGTTCTCCTATTACCAAACAACAGGGCAGCCTCTCAAGATGTCCAATTATAGTAAAGGAAAAGATTGTAGAACCACCCTTTAAATTTTCTTGAATTCCGATATACGAGTTTAAATGAGTTATTGCAACGGAACTGTAAATTTCTCTGTTCTCGAGCATTTACATTATACGTTATGTCAGCAAATAATGAGCATTTCAGAATATTAGCTTACAAAACAAGGCTCAGAATCCAGGAGAACGTATAGAGACATGCATTAGGTATTTTTTGGAAGCAGAAGTCATAAAAAATGGGAAAAGCCTTCGCCTGGAATTGAACCACGGACCTCTGGAATACGCGCCCAGCATGCAGACCACTACATCACGAAGGCAAGCTAAGAAAGTAGGAAAAATACCATGTAACGGTTGTAAGAATCTATCCCATCCCTCCTTGTGGTTGCTGGCGTAGTATAAGTAGTTAACATATTGAGCTAGCAAAGGGAAAATTTGTAGTTTGAAGTCAAGCCTCAGTGCATTCATTTTTGAAGCTTCCAGTATATATATAAAAATTTCAAATTATTTAAATCTGGCACATATCACATTCAAAATATTCATATTGTTTAGTGCTATTCACCTAAACTATTGTATGTTGTTGAATTTATAAAAGTATTTAATAATTCTTAAATTTATAAAAGTTTTTGTTATTTTAATATGCTAAATTTTTCGACTCTTACTGTAATTAACGAAAACGTTCAAACACTTTTCTATTAACTTTTGCCAAAATCCATGCTGAAAATGTGACTTTTAAAAATCGTATTTTTTTTTTTTTCCTTTTAAAAAATTTTATTCCTTTATTTCCATCCCCCCGTTTTCCTGGGTGTGTTTTCCTTTTTTTGTTCACCGTTTTCTAAATTTTTTAATTAAAGTTTTTTAAGATAAATCAGCTATTTCGTAAAGTATGTATTTCATCTAACATTAAAATTTTCTGCTAAAAATATTCAAAATTAAATTGCATGATAGGAAACCTTTTTGGATGAAGAAAATGTGTAGTAACAAATCTGATGAATACAAATGAAAATAATAAGTAAAATAAAAAACAGCGGCTAAATTGTGCTCAGAAATTGAATGGGAGCTAAATTTCCCATTTATTTAATTTCCCATTTAAGAATTTTATTTGCTAGTTTGTAGAACTTCCTGCGCAATTATGTTTCAGTTAGAATTGTGACGCTCATTGCTGCCTTAATTTACGTTTCAAAAGGAACTTCCTTACTGCTAAATGATACTGTTTAACTGCATAATTATGTTTCAGGCTACATACTTCATCACAGGTGGGATATGGGCGATTGGCAAGAGACCGAATTGTCAGCTTCAGAAATGGAGTATGGTTTCACCGATCTCAAATGCGGCTCTAGATACCAGTTTTACGTCACTGCTTTCAATGCCGTTGGTCGTGGAATCCCAAGTGACATTGTTAGAACTAAAACAGACGGAAGAGGTAAGCTTTAAACTGGCAATCTCTTATTCAAGATATTTTATCCAATAACATTCATCTCATACAGAAGTCCAATCTCTTTACAATTTCCTTTTTGAATCTATAAAAAAAATTCAACAGACGATTTTACTATCTAAATTCTGCCAATCAAAAAAAAAAAAAAAAAAAAAAATCATGAATACATGTCAGGAAATCTAGGAAAAAGTGTTATGTATTTTGAATTTTATCATAGCCTTTTAAAATAGATATATATTGGTGGTGTCCATTTAAGAAGATTAGGCAGACAGAGGACGCAAAATAAATAGATTTTAAAATACAATATGAGGGCGGAAATGGGCGATCTGGATGGCGAGGACGTTATTAAGTGGTAGGTACTAGAAAAGCGTTCTCCTGGCGTAAATCGTCATTCCCTGTGAGAATAGCGAACATATACCTCGTTACACATTCACGGAGTTCAGCAACATGCATTTTATCTTATGGAGCTGGGGAACTAAACTAAACTCTATACGTGCTTCGTCAACTTAATGACACTACATGACTGGTACTACCCAACTCAATCCCCCGATATTAGGCACGGGCGGGCTACCCAGCAAAAAAGCCACCTTGGAGATGGTTCGTACACTCCAACTGAGGTCCCGGTGCCCAAATCACTAGAAACGACAGCTTCAAAAATATCTCCACCTGCAAAGCAGGCCCACCGCTACACTGGCCAACCAAGACCTCCGTCCCAGCGATCAGACACCACGATGGGGTGGGCTGAATGCCTGGAGCTATGACTGGTCGTCAATGATGCTATCCGACAGTACTACACGGGCTACCCCTCCCTCCAGGCCTTACACGGAATACCAAGGACAGCGGTGACTAGACGCTCAATGGCCCAGGCGCTATTTGGCTACCGATGCCCTAGTTACGGGGATTTAAGCCACCCGATCTGTGAAGAGTGGAGATAGGCCGCACCCCACAGATCGCCGGGAACCGCCAGGCTCGTAATTATTATACCCCCGGACCGATACTGCTTAGGTAAACATCCTAGCCAGTACTTCGCAGAGTACTCTACGTCGACCCCCGGGGGTGAATATGGGGCTGGGGAAGGAAAACGTAATTGCTGTTCAAAGAAGGCACTCAGCAGTTCTTTATACATCTTTCGAGCCGCTGCTTCGTTTTTGCCACATTGCCGTGTCCGTTTAAGCAATGTTTACCATTCAATATTCGCACGGGGAATAATTACGCCAGCACAATGCTGCTCTTACCGTTTTTCCGCATGTGTGTTCTATCACAAAATCTGCTTATTTAGGTCTCTTCTACCGGTTTTGGAATTTCTGATAGATACTTTTGAATAAAGTATCGTTTTGAGTAGAATATTTAGTAATCAAAAACGAATTTTGCACTATAAAAACAATCATTGCATTGCAGCATATGTACCTTACCATAGCATTTATTTATTTCTCAGAGGAATGTAATAGCAATGTTAATGTCCATGAAAATTATCTGCAATGCAGGATCAGACTCTTTTATGTAAGTTCAGACTGTTCCATGTACAGATGGCAGGTGCTGCCTTCTAGAGAAATGTCTACAACAAAAATAATACATTTTTTATGTGTTAATCGATTGATAATGAATTAGAAACCACGTTTGATTGCAGAACAAGTGTAAATATATATGCTTATACGAAACCAGTGGCATATACAAATTTAGATATCTGTATCGTAAAATCATTACCAAGGCATTCACAGGTATTTAAAAAGAGAAGCAATTAAAATGTTGAATTTCCTATGTAATTTTCAAAAAAGGAATATTTGCTTATACATTTGCTTTTCAAAACCATGGCTGAAACTTGACTGCTAAATTCTAAACCATTACGCATTATAGAGAATATTCATCCTACTGAAGATAAGCTTTATAAAAGGAGGCATTGCTGAGCTTTATGTTGAAGTGATTAAAAAACTCCGCTGGTTTTAAGAGAGACTAGTACAGTATCCCTTTTCTGCAAGATGAAAAGAGCATTTTGAACTGAGGACTGGAAGTATATTTTTCAAATACGTGAAAGGAAATAAACATACATAGCATCATCTGTGGCGGAAACTAGAAAACAAAATATTAAAAATTCAAGAAATTAAGGTTTTAAAAGCTTTGGAATCAGAAATCCAAGATATCGAAAGCCTGAAATGTTTTGCTGACGATTGCTTTAGTTTGAATGGTAAAGCTTTATAACATCATTTTTCAGTGCTGTCGTAGCAAATACCAATTTCCACCAAAAGTAAAAGGAAGATTTTTTGGCAGTTCTTTTTAAGCTTAGGTAGAAGGTATAGGACGAATAGACTGAAGCAAAACGTGATTTTATTTTCATCAAAAGGATATCAGATAACCAAAGTTAAAAAAATTACAAGTTAATAATTAAACAATTTTTAATGTGGGTAACATCCTCTTTTAGAGCATATTTTTCATAAAAAATTGCCAATACAACTCCATAAAAAAGACAAATTAAATAATGACTTTTAATATTTGAGTATATAAATTTAAAATTTTATTAACTGCTATACGTAGCATTAATATTCTACTCATTTTCAGTCTCTGAATGCTTCCTGCATTTTTAACAAAATTTATTAATTAATTCGAACTTATGAAATATAGAAGTAAAATATGTCTCATTCCTTCTTGCACTCACAAATCATTATTCAGATATACATTTACAACTTTTAAAGCCTGAAAAACACGTGTCTGCGATATTATCATCATACGATGGTTTGTAAGCGCTTTATTTTTTAACACTATATTTTCTACGACCATGTTTTAAAACTACGATGTTTTCAAATCAACGTTTCAACGTCGAATCAATGTTTTCAACTTTATTTTCGCCGACGATGTTTTATACAACAGAACTACGATGTTTTCTCTTTGCTTTCTTTTCTACCATGGTGTTTTGTACTATAATGTTTTCGCCTTGGGCTGTTTTCTCTGCGACATCTTCGGTCGCGATATTTTTGCCACCACGTTTGCGCCTGTAACTATCATTGCTAGTCCTATATAATTATTCTTTAGATTTAAGTTATACAAATGCTAATTATGCCTTTCCTTGAAAGCTTCCTCATTTCAAAAGTCTAGCAGTTCCAGTTATGGTAATAATTTTATATCATCCGCCCTGAAAAATAATTAATATGTTTACGTCTTCGATTTTTTTGCTTTCTCTTCTGCTCAAATTAGTTCTGTTTTGGATAGCGCACACGTATTTATTTATTTTCTTTTATGTATGGAAAAGTGTCTGCAGTCCTGTGTGCAAAATAGTTTTGCATTTTGAAACCGAGTGACCCTATCACTAATTCCTCCGAATATGGTAGAATCTTTCTAATAAAACAATGCAAATCTCAAGCGGAATTAACCTGAATTATATATTTAGTTGGTTTCTTATAACAGACCCTTTTTTAAAAGTGTGATGTTAATTTCACTTGCCATAACGCAAAGTCTGAGCATATGCAGTATTGTTAGTTTTCAGAATAATAAGTGTAAATTCAATAACAAGGTATTCACCCATAAATATAATAAAATGTTTCTCTTTCGAAATAGTAATCATAAACCATTTTTAAGAACATTATGTTCGCATAATTAAGAAAACTGAATTTTTAACTATATCAAAATAAAATGTCATTGCATAACTATGATAAAAAGTGCGTAGAAATTTATCTCTTCACTTGCGTGTCACACTGTTTTTATTATTATTTATCACGTATATTTTATTTTGAATATTTCGTGCCTTTTGAGATGTAAGATTTGCAAATGCATAGCGTATGCAGGTTTTGATTACAGTGAGTTGATAATGGAAATAACTGATTAAAAATAGAATTTATTTAGTTTTAGCAGAATTCGCGGAGTGCATGTTGTAAAGCATAATTAAAGTAATCATTAGCATAACTTGTTTAAATACGTTTCAGCGATACATATTCTTTCAGGAAACCATATGGCTCAGTTTACAAGATTCTTGCAATGTATTAAACATGAGTAAATGGCAAAAGTATGCCAGCATTACTACTTATACCTAATTTTGAATGCATATAAATATCTTTGCCACAATATTTATTGTTTTTCGATGTGATTGTTAAATTGAGATAAATAGAGACACAATAGAGACGCTGTTCATTAAATAAGTAGCATTATTCCACTTAAATATTTTGCACCGTTATTTAGAATATATTCCGCGTGCTTCATCGAAAGGGGAGCTAAACAGTTTCTTTATCTAGTTTCATGGAACTAATAGAGAAACAAAAGAATCTGTTGAGGATTGAAAGTACAAGACTTATGACCGCTACTGAATCGGTTCTGAAGGAATAGCGATTATGGCATCATGCACTAATAATTTGATGACATATGATACACTGTCATTCCAAGCTTATTTATTCATGAGTCATTCTCCCTAGATTTGCTTTTAAGTGCATTCGAACTGACTGCCGCTATGTAGAATGTCGTAGCAGTTTCTATCCATTGTTACTGATATTGAGAATAAATTTACATGTTTCCTAAATGGTCTCCAGTTGTTACGTTATACAAATTGGATTAGTTAACTGTATAGCTCGCACTTTATACTGTTCCCCTTCTTGGGTTATTGACTTTATAGAAACTCAGACGATTACTAGCCTCTTAGAGCGGTTTAAAAAATACTAAACCACACATATTTTAACTCTTGGAAACGTTATAGAAAGTCATTCATCTGGCTTACTTAACAAGACAAGGAATTCAGAAGCAAAAAGCAATTGCGGGTATATTTCAATTGTTCAGCGGATGACCGGTTGATATTTCCCGAATTAAACATAACCAATCTTTAGCTTTCAATATGATATTCTTGTAAGTCTATAAAGTGTTTTACACGTTCATACAGATTCTCGAGTTCTTTGTAAAACTCATTTTTAGGAACAGAATTTAACCCTCTAATTTTCCTCAACATTTCCGCTGCTGTTAAAATAATGATCCTTCGAAGTGAGACTCTCTTTAGAAAAGAGAAAGCCATTTGAAGGTGCTAAACCTAGTGAATAAGGGGAAGTACAGACCTGGATAGTTTTCGTTGCTGAGAATAGCTTTGATGAGAATGGAAATGTGTGACAGCGCATTGCCGTGCAGAATGTGTGCAATGCTACGTAGTAGTAAGTAGGTGCGGTGTATGCAGTTTGCTTTATGTAGTAGTTGATGCACCAATTTTTAAATTTTTTTTACCAGTTCAGAACTTGAATAGTTTATCAAGTTGAATAGTTTTGAATAGATCATGTAGACACTATGATAAGGGTGAATGGGCGACTGTATTAGGACACTAAACAAGTGCCAGTTAAGCTATTTCCTACGAGTAGTTCGTTATTAATAGGAGCATAATGTAATTTGCATGCCTTTCAATTAATTATTCTTTTTTTAAAGTATATGAATTTTTGTTCAACGTAAATGATATCTCATATCTACCTTACAGAAAAGTGCTCAATGTCTTTAAATGATAAACTACAGATAAAGTTTATTGTGGTTCAATAGAAAAATATCTGTTGATGCTAAGGACTTTCTGTATCATAACAACATAAAACCAAAATTATAGATTGTGTTTTATATAACGGATTTCTGTTTCAGCTCCAGTTGCTCCAGACAAGCAGTCAATGCTCAGTACAAATCAGACATCAGCAGCTGTACATCTAGATGCATGGCATGATGGAGGATGCCCACTTACTTCATTTGCTGTCAGGTACAGACAACAAAGACAGCAAATATGGAATCTCGTTACAGAAGGTGGTCCAGAAGGTTCAAGTAGGTCACAAGACCGTCTTCGTCATCAAGTCGTGCTTGATGATTTAGTTCCGGGTACCTGGTACAGGCTACAAGTCACTGCTCATAATGAAGCCGGTTCAACAGATGCTGAATATACTTTCGTAACTAGTCCACTAACAGCTGGTGAGCATTCTTTCAATTTTATGGAGTTTTAAGAATAGCATAGTTAAAAATTTATATTAAATAATCTGTTAATAATAAGAGTAATTCTCTTAAATGGGTATTGTATTTAATTAATTGTGGTCTAGATGGTTATAATGATTTGATGCATTGCTTATAATAAAATGTTTGTTAAACAAAATGTTATCATGAAATCCATTGAATAAGAAGTTGTTTCCAATACTTTCAGTAATCGAGTATGGTTCGTTTGATTTAATCACCAGAAATAATGCATTATTTCTCAGTATTTTGTAGTCTCTGAGTAACGAAACACTTTATATTTTCAAAACCAATCTCAACAAATAAAACTGAAAATTGCTCTTTTGAAATCTCAAGCACTACTGATTCATAACCTGGGAAAAACTCCTATAATTATACCTTTGAAAATTGATGGAAATAGAATTTAAAATGTAAAAAGTATCATTTATCTTGGTACTATAATAGATCCGAAATCGCCTCCAAAAACCTTAAAGTCCGAACAAATGCAATAGCTACAACTTTACGTTGTATACAAAACTTTAAATGGGACTTAAATCGCTATATAATGAAGATGCTAATTAAAACGGTTATCTTCAAAATGAATACATATAGAGCGGCAATATGGGCTCAACCGATCACCGCCAGAAAAATACGAACACTTAGAACGATGCAAAGACCTTTCTAATTGCTGATCACTAGGGCCTACAGAACGACTTCAAATGCAGACTTAAACGTTCTTGCGAGAGTACTTCCCTTCAACATTATAGCAGAAATTGAAGAAGAATGTACTGATCTTCTGCAACTGAAACAAAGCGTGGAACTAAGAGGGGTGGTGTATTTGGTGTATTTAATTACGGCAAAGCACACTAGGGCTATCTGCCTAAGGGGAGGGATGCCTTCGTGGAAGACTTTCTAAGGGAAACTTTCTCGTATACACGTTACACATGGGAAAAACCACGAAAACGCCCATGCAGCCAGCCCGTTCGCGGGATTCGAACCTCGAACCGAACTCCCAGTGTTCAGCGACTTTACCGCTCGGCCGCTGGTGGGCCGGAACTAAGAAGGGAATTGTCCATCTCAGATCAATTCTGCCAAAAAACATCTTCTTCACCAAAAATGTCCGGCATCCTCTGAAATAAAAAGTAGTTCAATAACCATCAAAGCAGAATCCACAAAAAATATCCAATATCATACACTTATCGTTCAAAAATTGATAGCAAGCGGGGGGAAACAGCTTGATCGAAGTATCTCTAGTCATGGCAGGGGCGCCTATTGAACAACTACAACTTTTTCCAAGAAGAATTAACCGTTATACAAGCAGCAATCTCCTACGCAATTGAATTACTTGAAGAACATAAATGTTCTCAGCGGTAGCCAAGCAGTACTTGTGGCTGTGGAAAATATAATGAACTCCTCGCCAATGGTATAGAACACTAATAATATTTTAACCGAAACGAAATCAACTATACAGTATCCATAAGAGGGTGTTCTGGCCATCAAAGCAATGAGAAAGCGGTTGACCTTACAAATTAATCAGCTGAAATGCAATTAGATATGTATCAACTGTACTGTATCAACATCTCTTGGCCACGTTCTCATCTAAAGTACAAACTGAAGAAAACAGCAATGGAGAGCTGGTTACAAGAATGGGACTCCGCGGCAGAAGGGAGAAGAACACACGATTTATTCCAAAAGGTTACATAGAAATTAATAAATTCCAATCCGTGAACCTGTTTCTGACCCAGTACATAACAGATCATGCTCCTTTCACCACGTATTTTTTATAGAAAATGTTTTCTTAACATTTGCATACTTGGGGAACAGAAAAACCCAGACCACTACGTCTTGTCCAATGACAAAGGAATTTCACCTGAAACATACTCAAAATACTAACTGGTTATTTAAAAGTCTCACTAAAATTCTACCTTAATCAACTACATTAACAATATCATAATCAATTTAAGCTAGTAAAGACGCAGACTTCAGTTAAGTAATATAAAATAACAATAAAGGTTAAACTGCTATTACTTATAGCATCGGTGACCTGCTACAATAGATTTCAAATGAAATACTGTGTTAAGATTGTATTTGTTACTGTTTTTTATTTTATAATAACGTAAAAAACATTAAACTGATGTAACTAAAAGCGTCGTTGACCTGCTACAATAGTCCTTAAATGAAGTGTGATTTTAGGATCGTATTTATAACTTTATTTTATTTTATTTATTATTAACTACATTAAGATTGTGTTATTTGTTTAAAAATATTTGTAGTTAGGACAGTATTTAGGACTATGATTAGCAGATACAGTTGTTACCTAGTGACCAATTAGAGACAGACTGGGGGCTTTCCCACTTCTGCCTCTTCTTCTACTCTACATACTAATTCTCCCCCCCCCGGGTCGTATATACTGGCTTAGTATTATGCTCTGACAGTCTTGTTTCTAGGTGCATAATATATACGACACCGGTTCGTGCTGTTTAAAATGACATCCTGCGCTGTCCCGGAAGGTAGTGGCTTCGACCATCCGAGTGGGTGGCCGCGATGACAATCTTTTCATCGAATTTACATCCTTCGTGATGTGTCTGAGAGGTATATCTTAGGATCCCAGGGATTTGGTCTGGTTGTAAGGTACATGGAATTTTAATCTGCGTCCATGTAAATGGGCTGTGTAGATGCGGTATAGCTTAGTTTGTCAATATTATCCCTCGCGTAGAGAATCAATCAATCAAATTTGATACACCATTGGTGTATCAAATTTGATTGATTGATTCTCTACGCGCCGTAGTTTCTTTTATGGTACTAAGAAAAAATAACTCCGTGCTAGTTATTTTTTCTGTAAGGATTAAGATCAAGGCACAGAAGGGAACTTTAAGAATAATTGCAAAATTTTTATTGTTCAGTTACCTACGAAAATATTAAAATATTAAAATCAATATCCAGATTTTCTCTGTATTAATTGATAAGAATTAAACACTTTACAATAAGTGCTTTCTAAAGTAACCCATGTAGATAAATACTTTTGTAAAATGACACTAATTTAAATTTCTCAATTTATGAACTGTGACAACAGTTTGAATTTATATATTGACAATTTCTAATCTTTTACTTTTAGATGCTCCCCCCAGTTACCCCGTAAATGAAGAGAGCGCTCAAGAGCTACCTTTATACTTGGATATTAACATATTGGTGCCCGCCGCTGTTTCCCTTGCTGTTGTCATAGCTTTAATAATTTTAGTCTGCGTCATTGTATATAAAAGGAATACGCAGGACACAAATCATGCAGGTGAAAATATTTTATGTCACTGTTTGGGATTTAATAATATGCATGTTTCTACTCTTTATAGCGATTCTTGTAACTGAAAGTATTAATATTTTTGATTCCTCAGCTAATCTTAAGATTTTCGCTAAAGCATTTAACTCCAAATAATTTTGTTTACAATTTTGTAAATATCAGGTTAATAATGCCCCATTATAATAAAGAAAACCTTAAAATCTTGCATAATGATGGGAATTTTGAAAAAAAATATATATGACAGTTTTTGAGAGTGAGACTATCTGTGTCTAAAAATAGCTCCACTTTATGAGTGCAAATAATGAACTAACTTTCACGTTTCATGTCTACTACGCATAGGGAATACCAGAGAAAAAAATGGCGAGCTTCCACTATTTTCAGAATGTTTCAGTAGCTTATTTAAAAATACTACTTTTTATTTTATTATTAGCTTTGACTTATAATTCTCTAAAATGGGCTACTGAATTTAAATGAGTATTAATCATTGAAAACAGTGTTTGTTTTCTAAATTTCACTGCTTTAAATTACATTGTTGATTTTTACAATGATTAAGGTTATTTTAACCTAACATTCCATTTATTCTAATCGATACAGTATCAGTATTATGACATGAGTTTCATTATTGTCCATTTAACAAATATTGGTAACAAAGTTCTGGCATACAGATATCGCTTTACCTAGAGTAGGTGTGTCTATTTTCAAGGATCAGCGTAATAATAAAAAAACCTATAACATTTTAAAGCTTTCTTCGAACTGAAAAGACTGTGCAATATGTTTGTTAACTGTCGTTCTTTCTGTTATATAGTATGACAGGACTTTTAGAAGAAGAGGTTATGAAAATACTAGCTTAGCTTTAAAATCATTATTATTATGGAAGTGTAACTTATTTGACCTTTCCCTAGAAAGTATAATCTGAATCCTTTCGTACACATGCAGATTATCCAGACTTCTTTGCCGCTCCAAAAAGCAGCTTCTAACCGATAAACTTTGTAAGGACATAATGGCATTCCTCCCTCGAACCTATGTAATGGAATGATTAGCACGTTCAGCTAATAACTGGAAGATTTCAGGTTGCAGTTCCGATTTCTCGGCAGGAAGGGATAGTTGTTTAAAAAACGACTCTTGTTTGAAAAAAGAGAAAGAAATTTCACGGTTGTTTGTATTTTATTATATTTAACATCTGTAAATACAGAAGTCCATAACTAGCTGTTCAAAACACTTATTAGATAATGTCTGTAGACTTAAGTATATAAAAAGCATAGTTTGACAAATTGTATTTTAGCATTACTCACCGGAACTTCATCTGCCGACCAAAAGTATGCGATGAAATACGATAGCCAATGAAAATACGCTATCTAGCCTTAACACAGGTATCATAAGTCTCGAAATTTGAAATTTTGAAATCATAAGTCAGACATTTTTAAACAATATTTTCTTCTTTGTTTCCGGTGAAATATTTTGATTTTATTCGTCTTTATAAAATGGCACAATTTGTTTTGAATTCAAGGGTTTTGGTTATTTCAGCATAATTAAGCGGAATTACTTTTCCAAAACTCTAGCTCAGGTCAGGAGTTTTATTACTTTTCAGAAGGTGCTTTCTGGTATTTAAAGTTCCAAAGTGATGTATTCTTTTGAGAAGAAACATTACACTAATAAACGCAATTATTTTTACCAGGGGCCAACAGCGATACCTACAGTAATCGCAAGTGCCAAGTTCACGAAAGCGTTCAGATGACAGAAGTGGAAAAGAGTTCCTTGAAAAAAGCACTTTCAGGACCTGTTACACGTGGTGATTATTATCCGACGCCTTACGCTACGACTCGCATCTCTTCCGAAGAGCAAAAGGAAGCTGCTGCTAGACAGGTAATAAAAGTTTTTATACACATAATGTAATAATATTGATTGAAACTGAAAAGAAATTTCTATAACATACTTTAGTGCATTGTTATTCATGTATTAACATGTTAACTGCCAATTACGTGATAACTTTAAGTCTGACCTTTTGTCCAGAGCATCCAGTATTAGTTAATTCTCAGTACTTAACATTCTCGCAAGGCAACACTTACATTTAGCATATAACTGTGCTCAAAAAAAAGTAGCTTCTTGAGGGAAAAAGTAAATATCAACGGGATTATGTTTACTCAAAATGTGTAAATAAATGAAAAAGAAATATAAGTATAAAGTGTTTTATTACATTCAATTTTATATATTCAAAGAGAAAATTAAGAAGCCAAAAATATTTTTACCTTTTGTGATGTTCGACACGAAACGGTAGTTCTTCACAAATTGGTCAGAAAAAGCATTTTTCTCTGAAGCTTTTAGCTTGTGCATGTAAATTCGATATGACTTTGTCGGACACTGTGCTGTTTTGGTGAGTGAAGATTATGTAAATAGCGAAGCTCTTCCATCAAATATCTTAACTCTATTATGATAAGAGTTTTTAATAATATAATATGGTTAAGTAAACTCGGCTTCTGAAACCGGAATTTTAAACTTACCGTGAATGTGTTAGATACCATTTTATTCTGATTAGGTTAACCAACAGATTACACAATTTAACATTTTTTTGATAACATTTTATTTACTAACCCAAAGGGGTACACAGGAGGGCTATTAATTTCGCTTTGGCGTTTTGCGTTGGTTCACTATAAAAGTCCGAATCACTTTTCAAATTGTTACCACCAAATATTAGAGCCTTGCATGATATTTAAGGAAATTAAATAATGAAGAATCTACATGCAGATATGTATGTTTCTCGTTTTGTGAATGAATTTGGGCATCTAGAAACCCAAATTTGTTTTATTACCTACTTCATATTCTATAAAACATGTAGAGTCATTAGATTATTTTTATAGCAGGAGTGATGAAAAATGAGCAACGGCCTCGCCGTGAATCGGACCACGGACTCTGTAATACGCGCCCAGCGTGCAGACCACTACTCTTCGAAGGCATGCTAAGAAGGCGGGAAAATTACCTTATAAACTTGAACGAATTTTTTATTAATAAACTCTACAATTTCAAAGCGTTCCGTTAACATTAACATCGCGTGCTTCTTCAAGCACAGATATTTTATGCGCGAGGCTTCTTTCCATTTCTTACTGGTATTACATTGGTAGTGTAGCAGCGCAAAGACGTTACTATGTCTAATGGTATTTTGTGTCGAATTGCTTTGAATGCCTGTATCACTTTTCAAATCCCGTTTTGAATCCCCCTTGGAAAAAAAAAAACGCCTCTTTAGACATAATATAAAATCTGAAAGCTTTTAGATTTTTTTATTTATTTTTGGCATATCTTAATAAATTAATCACCATCTTTAATATCTGACTAATGAAGAAAGAAAGAAGTGCTTTTTTCCAAAATAAGTAGGAGAAATTACGTGATATGCATTAATTTTTAAAACAATTTCTTGCTTTATGTTTGATACCACTTTATTAATTTATTTTAATTGTTTTCTTGAATTTCTGAGTAATGGGATTCTAGAAGTGTAGTTTTTTTAGATATAAATGAGAGCAGAAAAATGGTTTTAACAAAGGATTTTGCTTAGATGATATATGATACTACGTTATTTAATATTTATTTATTAATTGTTATCATATGTTTATAAATTAATCGTTGTGCTGGGTTTCTGAATAATCAATTATTAAAAAATATGAAATAAACATTACATGCTTCTATACGTTCATGTTTCAAAAAATTAAATGTTGCTGAGAACGTTTCTTTAAAAAAATTGTTTCTGATTATAAATGTTTTATCTAAATGAGAATTAACCATTTTTCCATTTTGTATTTAATTTTGAATTATTATTATATTCCATTAATGAAGTAACAATTTTGTTCAAGATATATTCTTGCTGTGAATTACATGAAATATTGAATTTTTTTAAATCTTTCGTTATTTTAAACATTTATAATGAAGTTTAATCGTTTATTCATTCGTCACTGAGATTCATTGCATTTACATTTAGTAAAGAAAGCATATTTAAATAAATATAATCGTCTTCTTTTTAATCTAAGTAAAAATGGGAAAAAATCTGAAACGTTTATAAAATATATTTGTGTGGTAAGAGGAGCTGCATTAAACTAAACATAAACAGGTAATATGCTAAAAGTTTGCAAATCAAAGCTTTAAGTTCTAATTTGTGGATCAAAATTATTTATTACAGTCCCAAAGTGCAAGAGCAAAATATAAGCTGCTAAAATAAAATTTTAAGGTGCAAAATGTTGCACGAAAAATTTCATATGGGATAATAAAAATCAGGCACTTATTAGGCATTCGAATTTAAATGAAAATTAAGGATGGAGCTTGTTTATGAAATGAACTGAACAGGAAGATACTCAAGAAAATACCTTCAAAGTATGAAAAGAGAAACATTGTACCGCCAGAGAACACTAAAAATTGCCATGCCTATATTTTTTCAGTGATTCTGACGATAACAGTTTGAGTTTTTGCTTTAAAATTCATTTTACTGGATACAATTACTACTGAATTATGTAACTGGGCTAATAGATGGCCTGTATATTGTAGTCTGAATGTATTCGTAGTCATTATATCAAATTTACCAGTTACTAAAATTAAACTGCAAATGACCATTCTCCAACTAACTATTACTTAAGATTTCTCTACCTAACGTTGAACTGACCATTTGATATTTCCATAAAAGAAACGCGAAAATTCAAATGTGCGCTTGCTGGATTCTAACCACAGATATTCCATTTTGATCGTTGCAGGTGCTAGTTGCTAGTTGTGTGTTTGCTAGTTGCATCACGAGAACGTGTCACAGTATCTTAGCTACTCTACCTCTTAAAAGACAATTAGAAAGAGGCACAAGATTACCTCAACCAAATGTAAAAAAATGATATATTATTGTCAAACATATTTTTTACTTCCAGCCGCCACAACAGAAAACTCTGTGCGTTTACTAGGTGGGCACGTTAATCACTTACACGGCAAGAACGAGAATGATAGAAAGTGATATTTCCTTACATCCTGATTTTCGCATTCTTGTTAAGATATATTCAGTTCCATCCCCTGCCGCCCCTTACAATTGTAAAATGACTTACGTTTTTCAGTTCTCTTTTAGGCTATAAGATGTTTTAAATAGTAAATTTTTACTTAACTCCAATATTTATTTAGTATACTCTCACGTAATTATTACTTATAAAGCCTTTCAAAACAACTACCTTTATTTGTGCAGTGAAAGATTATTTAATTTTTTTTCGCTTTGCAGAAGTCAAACGATCCGCTAACGGCCGAGGGGATAAGATGGCTGAACACTGGTGCTCCTTCTCGCGTTCGGTTCTCTGCTAACTTAATAGCATATTTTCTGGCTTTTCCCATGTGTAACGTAAATACAAGCTAATTTATCTTCGAAAGTCTTCTACAAAGGCATCCACCCTCTTAAAAAAATAGTATTTGTTTGAGTTGTTCTGATCAATGAACTTCAGTAGACCGACAAGGTTAGGTTCTTCCTAAACTTTCGATTTCAATGACGTCACTGGACTTAACAAGAAAGGGAGAAACGTAGACAGCTTTGCAACAGATGATAAGACAGTGGCGTCATACAAAGCCAGTGGCTTTGATTTCTAGTCAGGAAGAGCAAACCACGTAGAATAGTAACCTTCGACTAACGAAACGTAAGCATCTGGGGGGGGGGGGGTGACAATTAGCATAGATGGATGTAAAATGATGCGTTTGAAGATGGGTGCCCTATCAGATTTTATTTAACCATTGTATGGTTACAGAGAAAGTTTATTTCAGTATTATATATGCAATAATAAAATAAATGTATCCGTATTATATTAAGTTGATCATGTTTCGTTGAAGAAAGTGATTAGTCTGTACCGACTGCGTATCTAAAAGTGATATTACACATCGTGTCCATTTTCTCAATCGTTGGTCGTAGATATTTATTTCCAATCTCAGAAATGTTAGGAATGATAAAGAAGTTCATGTTATGGTAATTTTAAGTTTAAAAATATTAAATGTCTTAAAAATTACGAAATTACATTTTGGTTTCTAATGTTTGGTCATTATAGTTTTATTTAGAAACGTTTATACTTCTAAAAAATAAAACACAAAAGTTTTTGCACCGAACTACAAAAAATGAACGGTTTATTTAATTTTAAATCAATGATTTGTTTAGATTATTCAATATATGAAAATCAAATTTATTACTCTGTTTCAAGAATCGTTTAAAAACCATACTAGGGAAACTATAGGCAGAATTGTTTTTCTTAGTATACTTCAGTGATATTCCTTTCTCATTTACTAACGGGTAACATTCTTTAATTTATAATTTTTCTGCATTTGTTATGCCAAAAACTTTTTCACACTATGAGTTTTCACGGGCTAAGAATGTGTTAATAACATTCAGATGTAGTTTCATTATTTTAAGATATAAATCTACATTAATACAAAAACTGGTTAGAATAAAAGTATTTTTCACTTCTAATTTATGCAAATGAGGTTACGAGCTGGTTAACTGGTTAACTGGCTACATCGTATTCTGCAGCTACGTTCTGAAATACTTATTATTTAAGTTCAGTGAAAAAAAATCTCTTTTTGAAAGAAATTTATATTTATCAAAACTTTTCAGGACGCACTGCGTGCTCACAGTTTAAAATAGCATTGAATAATAGTAACTGATTTTTTTTAATTTAAAAAATGTTAAACATGAGTTAATATTTGCCTTATTTAAGATATTTTTGTATTTGGAGGTATATGTTTATTACTAAAGGCCACGAAAATAAAGCCCCCGTAATGTCCGTAAAATGGACATGGCTATATAAGTGCATTGTGTGGAAATTCAAACTTCATTTTAAATAGAAAAATACATAGATGTGATATGCATTATAATATCTCCT